GTATTAATGAGAATATATTAGTTTTTGAGAAACATTGGGTGCTGATCTGATGTGATATTTCTGATATTTGGCAAAAATGCATTAACAAAATAACTGCTTGTTTTGTTTAAGTTCAATAAAGCCCAACATTTTAACATGCCAGGTTTTGCTTTTAAATAAGTTGAGATGCTGGACCACATGCAAAAATGCTCATGAAGATGCAGGAAATTGAAAGCTTGCCATTTGTGTCTTGTTTTTTTATGGTAAGTACATTTATATAACTACAAAACAATGGAATTAAAATTATGTTTCCTCAATTTTACCAGGCAAAAGCATATAAAGAGAAAATACTAACTTTATAGCATCTTTTGGAAAGATGTAACCATTAAAGGCCTACAGAATGGTCTTAATGCTTTCTTTAATATTTCCTAAATGATGTTTAACAGATTCAGGAAATTTTCACAGTATGTCTGATAATATTTTTTGTCTGGAGAAAGTCTTATTTGTTTTATTTTAGCTAGAATAAAAGCAGTTTTTAAATTTTTAAACCCATTTTAAGGTCTGTATTATTAGCCCCCTTAAGCAATATTTGTTTAGAATTGTGTACAGAGCAAACCACTGTTATACAACTTGACTAATTATTATAACTTGATAAGGTAAGTTTTTCTTACAATTGCAGTCAATTTGTAGCAACATTAACATTTGACAATTAAAGTTATTTTTATATATTCAACAGAAAAATCCAACTATCCCTTTAAAACCACAGAGATTCCAGAAACTGCGTCAATCCAGTGCCTTATTTGTCCAAGTTTAAATATTAAATTGCTTATTCTCTCACATCACTCAACACCTTACAGAGAAAGCAGAAACAACTTAAGAAAATATAATGTGTGTCAACCTGTTTCTGCAGGCCGTCCTGTTGACCTCACCTTGTTTTTTGCTTGTTTAAATCAGCTGTTACACCTTATATCGACAAGTGTGTGGCTTTCCAAACCATGTCCAATCAATAGAATCTGCCACATGTTAATTCCAGCTGAAGTGCTGAAACATTTCAAACATGTTTTGGTAAAACAGGAAAGCTCCAAATTAAGCTAAAGTATTTCAAGTAGCCTATCACACAAGATGGCATTAATGTTTGTAATGCAATAACTTGATTTTTCTTCATTGTTATTGCTATTTTGAACATTTGCAAAGCTATCCACAAAATGTTTTTTTTACAAGGTGTCTTTACAAGGTGTGGAATAAAGACTGAAACTACATATATCTATATATTATATTTATTTAAACTCAACTTGTATAATTAAATATGTGTGGAAAATTAAAGTTTAAAAATATATAGCTTTATATTATTTTCCTATAATAATTGAAGAATGAGAAGTGACTTATTGATTTAGAAATGTGTCGCGTTGCTCACATCTAGTCAAGTTTCTGTTCAATGTTATCGAGCTAACAACTGAAATCCAGCCGCATTTATGGTGCCTAAAATCCAGAGTTGGCACAAAGTAAACTGAAAAATACATGACTAAACCGGTGTCGATTTGTCCTCCAATTCAAAAGGAAGCACATTTTGATGACAAAATATTCTACCATCAGATTTTGCTACCAGTGTATATTTGAATGTGGAGTAATGCGATATGAAGCTGTCATACCGCCCTAACCTATCTAATCCCTTACCCCAACATCAGAACCATTCAAATACAGTGTCGATAGCATAATCAGATGGGTAGGATAAAACGTCAGGAGACTGGCTTTGTTTAAGGCCCAAAGTCATTTAACAAACGCCAAAAAGCACGCAGCGCACCAAATTTGTTCTTTGTTTGTTGACGATCTAGTGCAGGTCGCCTACTTGTTGGCTGTACAGTCATTTAATAATCTTACATTTACTTTATTTACATCCACATGTTAGTTGCACAGATTCTGTTTTATTTACAGCTATGGGTGACAAAAATACAATAATCCGATGCAAAAACAAACAATCCATCAACATAATTAATTAACGTGATCTCAAGAATCTCTGAAAGATCATCTTTCTGAAACCAAAATGTCTATAAAAAGATATGCTTCATGAAATTGTTCTTAACGTTTCTAATCATAACACTTAAGTTTTATTATCTGAAAGATGAATGTGTTATTTGAAACGGCTACACTGTAAAAAAAACAAAAAACATGTTGTGCTATCTCAATCCAAATTTGAATAAAATATGGACACACCCAAAAATGGGGTTAAGTTTGGCTATATAAATTTAATTTAAAAAGATTACCCAGCAGTATGTTTAGTCCATATTATACCCATATTTGGGTTGAAATAAAAGCATATTTTAGAATGTAGAGATTTTGTAGTTCGGGTTTTCCAAATTTCATATTGTTTTTGCATATTATTTATATGTTAAAAGTCAGATTAAGAGATAAGTTAGATACCAATCATAACGTAGGCTATTTCGTTGCGCGTTTAAAAATAATACCTAATAACAGGCAATAGCCGCTGTATAGCCTAAATAATAAGTTGTTTGTTTTGCTTCATGAAAGGTAATCCTCTATTTTTAATATGCATCTCTGAAACCATGCAATGTACAAATATTTGTCACTGCCGACCACATCAGAAAGGTTTTTTCTATATGTATAACATTTTTGTCGTCACACAGCCATCTCTTAGAGGAAACAGAAAGCTTTGCTTGAGGACCATTGTCTGGACGGACGGAGGTCCCTTTTAACTTGAACTTGGACTTCTGGAGACGCTTCCGTCATCCTGTGGTCTGAGCGAAAGGGTGAAGCGCTATTTTAGTGGAAATTAATTAAAATTGGCCACACTTATTTTATGGTTTGAAGTATTATTAGATCGTGATTATGCTATTTAATCATCCAGGTTAAATATCCAGTCTTTAATAGCTGAAAAAATTGGTTTATTCACTACTCATTGCATTATTTTATTAAATCAATGTAATATGGTTTGCATTTTGTAAATATAAAAAGGCGTGTAGGTCAAAAGAAAGACAGATGGAAGTGTAACTATCGACTTTTTCCAGTCGGCCGTCAGGAGCACCAAATTAGAGCACGGATAATTGCAGTTAACACAGATTAATCATACTATATGTGCCCTCTTTTGTATAAATAAGTTCTTAATTTCTATGTCCTATAGCATCACTAAAAGATGCATATCAAAATAAAGATGTGATATTTTGATAACATGCAATTTAAAGGTTAATATTGGAAAACATTTTAATTAATTCTCCACAATCCCCAAAAACTATTACTGTCGCTCACTTTCGACGAGTTTAGGCTATGTCTTGTGTTGGTATAACTGGTAATTATGTTTTAGCCTATCACAGAATCTCATTTGTCATTCGCATTCAATATCGTGTAGGGTCGGTGTAAAATGTAGGAGCCTGCACGAGGAAATTTGGACTTTGTAAAATAATTTTAAAGAAGCACAGTATGTCACGCTTAAGTTTTGAGAGATGTATCGAGCTTATTTAATTTAGTTTTAAGATGTTGCTTCATAATGCACCAAAACAATGAAAGGATTTTAGGTTAATTCTATAAATATACAGTTTAAAATAATGCACTTTAGGCTTTCTAAAACTTAACATTCTCATAATTAACATTTATAATTAACTTAATGTATGAACAAGCAAAGAGTTTTCATTGAACAATCTATGTTTCCAAAATGTTGCTCGTGATGCTTCAACCTTTGTTTGCAGATTGTAATGGTAAAAGTGTTACTTCATATACGTTCCCAATTGGACACATTTGAAATGACATAAATTGTCTTAATTAAAAATATTTTGGTCGATGGGATCATTTAGATTTAAAATCAATTTGGTAGTCTAATAATTTGTGTAAGACGATGAGAACTAGTCAAAGAGCGTTCGTGTTGGTAGAAAAAAGACTGCTCTACTTCTAATTTGCACGTGAACTCAAGAATGTTAGTGTGAAGTTCGTTCTTGTCTGTCTAGACGTATTACGACCCTCTTTGTCTACGTTTCCACCTTGACCTTGGATTTCCTTGCAGCTGGCTTTTAGACAAGGAGCTACTTGCGCAAAGTAAGTGTATTTTATTCTTAACTAATTTTAAATGAACTGCAATTGTAATGTTTTTGAAGCATAACTATGAAACTAGCGAAACTAAGCGAATTCGTTTAGTTTCGACGTTACCAAAAGAAGCGTAATAAGAAGTTACTCGAAATAACATAAGTCCTGTTGCAAAATATAGTTAGGGATCTCGAAATTGGAAAAACAAACAAATAGCACAGAGAGGTGTAATATTTTTTTACTTCCTTTATTCAACAGACATTTTTTTACTTAATTCTAGAATCAGAATCAGAATCAAAAAGAGCTTTATTGCTGGGTTTGCACATACGAGGAATTTGTTTGGTGACAGAGCTTCTACAGTGCAACAGAATTACAGAGACAGGACAATTAATAAATAAAAAGCAGAAAGAAGTGAATGCAAAATATACACATAGACAAGTGTATGTAGAGCTATATTACTATATATTCCCTGTTAAACACATCATACTAAATGCTATAATTGCATGTTTAGTTATTTGTATTGCATCATTTGAAACTGATATATTCGTATGTATGTCTAAAGACACTCGGCCTGCTATAATATAGGCCGAAACTGTTGGCATTATACGTGTTAAGTTGCGTATTTTAAAAAGCGAAACGGTTCAAACCTAATTATAGTTCAAAAATAATAATCACCAATAAGAAAAGATATTCTTGAAACAATCTAATACTGTATCTGCAGCATTTACATAATTTATTTGTTTTTACAATAATTATGAAAATGTTGCATGATATGCACCTGCAAGCCCTCAAATTAGTTCTTCTTTTAGGTCTTGAGTGACTAAAGGGGAGAGAAAGTGAGGTCTACTCGTGCAAGAAATTCCCTCACTCTCGCTCTCTTGACATCATTGTCAGTAATCTGTCGTTCTTAATAGTGAAAGACGTTTGCGTTTTAGCGGATGCGCATGCGTGCGCGAAGAAAATTAGCTTGGAAGTGAGGTGTCAGTCTAGGAGTAGTCGAGTTTTAAAAAGCATCGACAACCCATGACCATGATTTCGCCGATCCTGCATGGACGCTGGGCGGACACACTGATTTACGTGTAATGAGAAAAAAACCTCGAATGAAAGTTATTCTCATAAAACCATGGAGGGACTGAGCGGGAATTGCCCTGCCTCTCATTGCAGGGATTTTATCTCGCACCCTGCGCTGGGACGCCACTCTGGGAGCCTCGCGAGTCACCAGGGCACAGTGTACCCGGATATCACGACACAAGATGCCGGCCGGCAATTCCCTGCGCCCCAGGCCTCGTCGGGGACTTCACTGGGCTATGGATACGCATTCGGGAGTCCATATTATGGGTGTCGTCTTTCCTACTCTCACAACGTAAACTTGCAACAGAAGTCATACCATCCTGCCGAAAAATACATGGAAACAAGCGGTGCGCTGCCAGCTGAAGAGCTTTCCAGCCGGTCAAAAGAATTTGCTATTTACCCAAGCTTCGCCAGCTCTTATCAAACTGTCCCTGGCTATTTGGACGTCCCAGTTGTGCCAGGAATCAGTGCGCACCCAGAATCCAGGCATGAAGCGTTGTTTCCTATGGACAGTTATCAGCACTGGGCACTGTCGAACGGCTGGGATGAGCAATTGTATTGTTCTAAGGAACAAACACATTTTAACCACCTATGGAAATCCCAATTTTCGGGTAAAATATAGATCAGCGAATATTATACAATTTGGCATTACTATATACATGTTTGACATTTTCATTTATACTTGTAGTCATAGAGATTAAATGTATATTAACTTTAAAAAACTAAGGCAGTCGTGCATTGTCCATTAAGTGATATTCCTTATGGTAATGTAAGGCTTAATTGTATCATAGTGACTTTCTGTGACAGCTTTCTAACAGGTGAAGGTTTACACGTAGCCAATCTTTTTTCCAAATTCGAAGTAAAAATTAATGTTATTAATAATAATAATAATAATAATAATAATAATAATAATAATAATGATACAAAATATGCATTGACAGTTTTAGACGTACATTATTCCTAAAAGAAATATTCATATTAATGGTGTTTATAAACAATATCACTGGGGTAAAACTATATTCAGTGATGTAAGGCAAATATAAACCAACTCAAAAGAGAGGTTTGTTGAAGTTTATTGTGGATGGCACAAACAAATGCCGAAATTAAGCATGTTCAGAGCAGGATTAGAAAACGGGGCTGGGTAGGCTAGTGTTATATAAAAAAAATAAAAAAATAAAATATTTACATGTGGTGCCACTGAAAATCCACCAGGGATTTTTTTTTATAATAATAGCCTTAATATTAAGATATAAATACTAACTTTTAGTGTATATCTAATATTATACATAAATTGCATTATTTAATAGTCGTTAATCTCCCTAACTAGTTGCAAGTGTATATTATCAAAACTAAAGTTGTAACTTAATTTATTCTGTTATTTATAATCAAGCATACAGGTTGCCCTTGGTTTACCTTAGCTTAAGTTCATGACGCTGAGGTTAAGCGAAAAAACTGTTACAGAAATGATTAATCTGGAAAGACGTAAATGATTAGCCTAATTGATGTAAATCCAAACAAACTCTTTTCAGTGTATTTAGTAGTCTAAATATAGTGAGGAAAAGTCCATGTTTTTTTTTTTTTTGTTCTTTAAAATGCATCATATAAAACTGGTTTTGGCTTCTTAAAAATAGCATTATTTCCCTCAGGGAAAGCTTATGGACAAAAAATGCACTTAATCTATTCCTTTTTATAGAAATAAAGAGGCAAAACAAGAATGCATCGTGACTGATGATTAATGGACCATTGAGTCTTTTGACATTTACCTATGCTCGGTATCAGGTCAACATTTGTAAATGATTGTTCGAGTTTGACTTCCTCACTTAAAACAATTCCTTCAGTCGAGCGTAAACCCTACTTCCGATCCATTTGAAATGATCTCCGAGCGACAAAAACTCACATTACATATTTATATATCTACATATATACTGCACTGAAGCTAATAAATCCATACACTCTAAAAAATGTGTGTTATATAAAACAGAATTGTGATCAGTACCATTTACTCCAAAAAACGTCGGGTTATTTCAACCCAATTTGATATCTAACCCAACTGCTGAGTTAATTTTTGGTCATTGGGACCAAATTTAACCCAATGTTTGGCTTAGTCCAAATTTTACCCAATTTGGGAAGAAATAACCCAGCATTTAACTCTTTTGAACGAGTCCCAATTAGGCCTAACTTCATAGTGGGATACTTGGAGAGAATTTAGGCAATATCAAATCATATGCATTCTTAGATGTTCTTCACTTCTTGAATTATTTTTGCAGATGTGGTGCCACACCAAGCCGAGATGAACGGCTACCGTCGCGGTCGTAAGAAGAGGGTACCTTACACTAAAATCCAATTAAAGGAACTGGAAAAGGAGTATGCAGCCAGCAAGTTCATCACCAAAGACAGAAGAAGGCGCATCTCCGCCACAACGAGTCTCTCCGAGCGCCAGGTGACCATCTGGTTCCAGAACCGACGTGTTAAGGAAAAGAAGTTCGTTTGTAAATCCTCAAAGTCAAGCACTAACATGCATTCAGTTTGATTATTTTCGGTGTTCTTTGGCTCGACAAATTCATCAAGGAATTTCTTTTTATTTAAGTGGGCTTAATAAGGCCTAAATATGACGGCGGCGGATCCGACACAGACCTATGCATCGATGAGGTCCTGCATTTACAGATGTAGTAGACCTAAGCTGCAGTAAGAAATGAGTTTCCAGAAGACATTTACACATGAATCGCTTTATAATATTACTGTTTTTTAACTCCATGTTGTTACAACTGTCAACCTTTCTGTTGGTACTGTTGTTGTTGTTTAATGAAAAAGAAATGGAAATTGTTTGTTAAGACTACGATGGAGGCATAGTTTTAACTCCATTTTAACTTTTAAAAAAGTTTTCAATTCAAATATAGTAATATGTATGTCAAAATGTTCGGTTATCAAAACGTAATGTCATCCATGAATTGGTTAATATTCATCTGTCAATGTACTTTTCCCTCGTGGTGTGTTTTCTCAATTTTATAGCAATGTTGTCGTGTTTAAAAACGATTTAAAGTGTTTAGGAGCTGAAATAAAGCTTAGCGTTAGGTTTGAACACAAGAAAATCACACACTTATTTCCCCCAATATTAAACTGTTTGTGTTATGTAATTTCATTGTGAAGTTTTTTCTATCTTGATTAAGTCAAAGCTCAAATAATGGTCCACACGCAATGCAGTCAAAAATATATTCAGAAAATACGTTCACTGACAAAGCAGTACCCTAAACCCAGCCGTCTTTGGCGGATAAGCAAATCGTACTAAATTGTACCAATTGAGATCGTAAGAATAAGCCACTAAATCAAAAAGTCACAGATTGCAGATCGTGTTATTTCTTGAAATAAGTTTTTTCAAACGTTATCCATATTATTCTGCAGCCTTTTAAAGCAATGTTTGCTCAATGATAGATATGTTTCAAACCGCACCACAAAAGGCACATGCTAAGACTGCATATATAACTAGAGTGCATGGACAGTATAGGCAGGCCAGTTGGCCTACAGGCTACATATTTATTACGCATTAATTGCTAAAATGTAAACACCAAACAGTGTTTGTAAAATGTTTGTTCTTAATCATTTAAAACTATAGCTTCTCTGTACTCCTATAATGTCAACTTATTTGCTACATATGTCTGTATGTTACATTTCTAAATTAAATGTACAGGATTTATTACAAACATCATCTTTTTACAATACTTTTCAAACTTCAAAATGTGTGTGTGTGTGTGTGTGTGTGTGTGTGTGCGTGCGTGCGTGCGTGCGTGCACCACGGGTAACACGTTGTGTATTTTATTTTTAATTCTAATTCATTCTACTTTTTGAACTGAAATTGTTTACATTATGTCAGCTCATGAGAACATTTGCTTTTTATCAGTCCGTTTCTGCTTTGTAAAGTGTGTGAGTGTGTGTATGCGTGTAAAAAGTGTTCACATGTAAAACATCAAATATCTATTGTCAGTCAGTTTTTATAGAACGGAATCAATAGATGACATTACCCTGGGTTTAGATGGGGTTAGATAGGCAGGGCCGGATTTCAGGGTTTATGCAGGTTTCACCAAGTCTTTTTAAGACTGTTATGAATGAAATTTTAGACTTGAGGATTTTTAATATATTTTTTTTCCCAACATGACTTTTAAAAACTTGTTTAAATGTATACATAGCAGACTGTGATAATATAAATAGAGTTTTGCTAAAAGTTTTATTGAGAGGTATTGTTGGTAACTGGATGCGTGTTAGATCGATTGGGTATACATAAGCAAAGGAAAAAGAAAACTCATTAAAATTATTTAAGACCTACAAGACAATATTTCAGTGAAGCATTTTTAGGCCTATTTTTAACACATTTAAAGACTTTTAAGACCCAACGGAAACCATGGAGTAATCTTACTATGTCACATAGGCAAAATACATTTTTGGGCCCCCATTTATAATTTTGCCTATAACTCCTGCCCCCGCTAATAGGTCTATGTATTTTTGTGTGCATGGTTCTCTACATGTTCTGTACATTAAATTTAGGTTTTATAACAGCCACACTCTAAGAAATGCTGAGCCATTTAAAACCAAATTGGGTAAAACGTGGACTAACCGAAACATTGGGTAATCTTTGGTTCTATTAATTTAATTTTTAAAAATTAGTTGGGTTAGTCCCTAATAAACCCAGAATTGTGTTGAAGTAACCTGGCATTTTTTAGAGTGCTGAACTACAACCAAATAATTTTCGAATTTTAAGGTTTGTGTGCTACCAACTTTGGAAACAAATAACCTGCTTATGATGCGTTCGACAACAATCTGAGGTGACTTAGCTGCACACCCAGCAAGCATTTCTTGTTTTTAAAAGATGTCTAATAGACGTCTTGACTAAGGCAAGGCTAAATTTGTGCTGTCAGTGAAAATCTAATAGACGTCTATAAATAGGCCAGCACTAGATTAAACATAAATGAATGACTACACATGTAAAGTCTGTCTATTTGACGACTAATCTACTTTCTTAGATGTCTATTGGATTTTCACTAACAGTCAAAGTTTAGCCTTGTTTTAGTCAAGCTGTCTATGTTTAGATGTCTATTGAACGTCTATTAAACACAAATTTTTTTTGCTGGGAAATTAAGTCAAAACTAGTAACTGGTTTCGTTTGAGAAATTTGTTTTATAGTTGCATCACATCTCCGTCGTTTAAAGACTATAAAACTGTAAACTGAGTTAGGAAACGCCCAGATTGTGGGGTAATAATCTGATGACGACAGATGACGACTAGGCTTGCAGATGACTGCTTGTTTTTGTTCCCTGTCTTTTTTCTTTCTTTTTCATGATGTTCATTTAACGCGGGTTCCCCCTTGCGTCACACTCCGGGGGTTCCTTGCGCAGTTGGCAACTTATTGTTGACAAGCTAGTTTGCTATATTAAAATGTGCATAGCCTGGATGCATTACAATGTATTACATTACATTGTATTACATATAATCAAACGTAGGGGAACATTGACTGAAATACTTGTTAATAACCATTGGTGTAAAGTAACCAATCACAAAAAACTTAAATAACAGTAATTAAGTAGTTTTTTCTCAGAAACTGTAATTTACTAAGTAGTTTTAATAATGTGTACTTTCACTTTCCCCTAAGTACATTATTTAAGCTATATTGGTATTTTTTTACTCCACTATTTTCCTTCAGACTGCAATCCCTGCTTTATTTTTTCTCGTCTGTTGGGATTGGCTGAGTAGAAAAATCAGTTCTGTGATTTCCGTCCAATCAAATCGCACATAGAAGCTAAATCGCATCATACTGAAAAAAAAACTGAAGGCATATGGGAGATTTATAAATGCTGCAAACCGCTTAGCAGCATTAAAAATATCCAAGAAGATGTCTATAATCTTTAGATGCAAACATGGGGAGACTTTTTGGACTGCACGTAATTGATGAAAAAATTATGTCTACTAAAAAAAAACAGCTTAAACCAGCCTAGGCTACACTGCAAATTTTAGATTGTAGATTTAACTACCTTAGAGTTAAATTTAACACTTTCTCAGAGTTTATATGGGAACCACTGGAAAAGTGTTGAAATAACACTTTTGAAAGAGTTAACGTCATCAACACTCAGAAAGTGTTAATTACCAAACTCTTATAGTGTAAAATATTAACACCACAAAGGATTATCTGAACTCCAGTCAGTGTTATGTTTTAACACTCTTAGGTAAATTTTTCAACACTTTACCAGTGTTATTTTGATGGTGTTAACATAGTCAACACTCCGAGAGTGTTAGTTTGCAAACTCTTATAGTGTAACATATTAACACCAAAAATGATCATATGAACACCACTCAGTGTTTTGTGTTAACACTCTTAGGTTAAATTTTCAACACTTCACCAGTGTTCATTTGACATATTTTACATTTGTATTTACATTATGCCCTGTCGTTAATTCTATAATTACAATGTATCATTTCAATTCACCACTCATGCAATAAATATGTGCTGCAATGAATACATTTTATTTTCTTTAACATGGTTTTACATTACACTTAAAACACTCTGTACAATGACCTTGTACATAAAATCTCCTGAAACAAAACTTAAAACATTATCTTGCAATCTACACAATGCAGCAGTCTGGTACAACATAAAACAAAGAGTCTGCACCATAAGCCATTTGTACATCAAAAGGCTTAAAGAATCTTAAGTCATGAGGCATAACAACTGAAACATTATGCATGTTTTCAGTAACTTCAAATGCATGTAAATGTTCCACAAATGAGGTCTCCATTTCCGTTACCAAAAAATAAGCTTCATTCCTCAGAAATATACAAACAATTTTGTTGAACACTGGCAATTCTTCAACAACACCTGTGCAAACAACAAGACCTGTGTGAAACTCAACGTCTTCATGTTTAATCCAACTAGTGATATTTACTTCACTTAACATATCAATCTGAAAATGTTCTGCAATCAAATGACCATTGTCAACATCAGTCAGTTTCTTTGACTTAACAGGCCCAGATTCAATCCCTTTTGTAAAGAGTGACTCCCAATGGTATGCAACAGCTATCTGGTGTTTCATCGCAAGGGACTTAGTTATGTTCTTGAAATTTTTCAAACTGGACTTAAAAAATTTGTGTTTTGCTTCATATCGCATACTCCAAACATGAACTAAAGGACCAATTTGGCGTATACACTCAGGGTAGTGAATCATGAAATGGTGTTTTGGTATCAAATTATTTTGGGGATACAATTCACTGAATAGCTGGTGATGCTCTCGAATAAGATGTTTTAGAAATACAATCATTCCATCTGTAATACTTGGGGAAAATATTATGTTTACTATGTGGATTAAAAGCAGAAGTAAATGCCAGTGTCTGTCACCTTCTGGGACCACATCACCGAAGATTAGTGGGAGGTTTCTACTAAGGCATAATGTTTGACTAGCGTTAAGTCCAATACTGTTGCCACTACTAGACAGGTTTATGCGTGTTGGACGGTTCTTTTTGTCCATGAAACCATAATTGAATGCATATACACGCTGGAGTATGTTTTCATTAGAAATGAAGTTCTGATTCAAATAACCAAACAACAACTTAATCTCATATTGTGCCACGCCCTCTAAGACATCGTGCATGATATCTAAAACAAAATTATCTGAAACACTGAAGTATGACAAAGAATTGAATATACTGTTGCGTTTCAAGCCAAAACATGACGTTTCCCTCGGATTCTCACGAAGATAATTGTAATGCTCCTCATTTGTCAATCTGCTGCGCAAAACCATACGTGGATCATTTTCACTAAACATTGTTTGAGCCAATCCTTTGTCAGCAAGACACATTCTGCAAAAGTAGTTTCCAGAGAAAGATTCCACATAACCAAGGATTGAGTTCAGACCTAAATTGTCCCCTGTTACTTGAGCAATTGTACCATAAAGAGGTTGTTCAGTAAATGACACTTTCATTCCATGTTGTTCTAGCACTTTTACATCTTCAACAAATGGACAAAGAATTTTGTCAATGCCATATTTTTTGGAATCTTGGGAATGAAACAAAGAGATGAGGTGAATGTTCATCAAAGACGAATTTAAACGTGGTGGTAAATTTCGGACTGTAAAATATAAACATCCAAGCTTGTG